GGAAACAGGTTAGGATTCTGTTCAAATGGTAGGTGCATGAACCTATCAGTTTCATGTACTTTTATCTTCTGTTCTGGTTCAATTTTCCTGATTAATTCTGGGATATAATATTCAACTCCAGACTTGTCCCTAAAAGTTTCTGAACTCTTATTTCCGTGTGTCTGTATTTAATTATCCTGATATAGCACACGCTTGAGAACTTCTTGGAGATCTGGTCTGGTGCTGGTAAATTCTTTCAGGTTTTGTTTATCTAAGAATGTTCTTGTCTTTTCTTCCCACATGAAAGATGGTCTTGCCAGGTACAGTATTCTTGGCTGAAATTGCTTCTCTCTTAACACTCTCTTAAAGAATGGGAATATATTTTCCCATTCTTTCCTTGCTCACATTGTTTCTGATGAGAGATCTGCTGTTAGCCTGATGGAATGTCCTTTGTAGGTCACTTGTTGTTTTTCTCTTGCCAATCTTAGTATCTTGTCGTCTGTGGTTTTGTTCAATCTGGCTATAATATGTCTTGGAGAAGATCTTCTTGGGTTGATTCTATTTTGGGTCCTTTGTATTTCTTGGGACTGGATCTTCAAATGCCTCTCTAGGTTTGGAAAGTTTTCTTGGAGGATTTCATGGAATAGGATTTCATGCCCTTATGGGTCTCTTCACCTTCTGGAATGCCAATTATCTGGATATTTGGACATTTGATGGTATCTAGTACTTGTTGTATATTATTATCACATTTTTGTGCCATTTTCTCAGTCTTCATGGTGGATTTTTCTAGGTCAGCCATTTTCCCTTCTAAATCTGAGATTCTATTTTCTGTATGATCTAGTCTGCTTTTAATACTTTCAAGGGAGATTTTGACTTCCTGTATTATAGGCTTCATCTCTAACAGTTCCGTTTGAGTCTTTTGTAAAGTGTGTAATTCCTTTTTTAGATCTTGCAAAATTTTCCTCATCTCCTGGAACTCGTCAACTTCTTTCTCCTTTCTCTTTAGCAGTTCATTGTCTCTCTTCTCTTCCATCTCTGTTAGCGTTGACATTATGAATTTCTAAATTCCTTATCAGACATTTCCATGATTTTCACCGAACTGCTTGTGGATGAAGAAGAGTTACTGTTTTCCTTTGGAGGAGAGGTATTTTCTTGCTTTCCCACATTTCTTGTGATCTGGCGATGATTTCTTGTCATCTGACAGATAGTGTGTTTCTTTCAAATTCTTGAAGTTCAGTCTGAATGGTCAGGAGCAAGCAGACAGAGGTGGTCTAGAGTCTCTTTGCCATTCTGTTGTGATCGCTGGTGCAGCAGATTCAATAGATATTGAAGAATATTTTAACCCACGCTAGCTTGTTTGCTGGAAGCTGAATTATCAGTAGAAAATCTTCATTTCTCATGTGCCCTGAAATACCTAGTTCACAGAAGCCGTGAGGAATCTTCCCATGATTGATTTTTTTTTAAAAAGTAATTCATAGAAAAAAGCCATTGAGACTAATGATTGAATTTATAAATGCTTCAAGCTTTATGATAAATATTTAAAAACAACTGTATATATGTGTGTGTGTATACATATACTTACATATATATATATATATACATATATATATATATGTGTATATATATATATATAAAGAGAGAGAGAGAGAGAAAACAGTATCAGTATAGATATATATAGATATAGCAAAACATATTTAGGAAATTAAGTTTAAAAGCAATGTTTGGGCTAGTAGATGGTGTGGTGGTTAAGGCACTGGATTCCACAAGGCTGACTGCACAATTCTAGTCCTAATCTGGCTGCTTGAAACACATGCCAGACACTTGCATACTCAAAATCCCAAGAGAAGAATGGAGAAGAGATTGTGGCATGGCCATCACCCTTGTGAGGAGGGAAGATCTCTCACTTTTCCTCTCCCTCTGTCTGTCTCCAGCAAACACATGCTCCCTATTGCAAACATAAAAATAAACAAAAAGCAATGTCATTTTTAGTAGTACCAAAAATATGAAATATTAAGCAACAAATTTTTTAAAATACTTAAGATCTGTACACTGAAAAGTATGAAACTTTGTGAGAAATGATAACTTAAATGAAGAGAGAATATGTGATCATATATTGAAAGTTTCAGTATTGCTAAGACATCAGTTCTTACATTGATCTATGTCTTCCATACAACCCCAATGAATATTCTATAAGACCAATCAATATTTTTTTTGAGGAGAAATTGTGAAGCTCAATCTAAAATTGTTGAAGAACATAAAAGAGCTGTAATAACTCAAGATTTTTGAGAAAGAACAAAAGGGGGGGGGGCTTTGCTACTTGTACATCCAAGGTAGGACATGGGCAGGACCAGAGAGAACAAGTAAATTGATGAGTAGATTCCTTGATGTCATGTTCTTAGTCAGACCAGAGTGCAGCAGCAGTCCACTCTTGGCTACGCTCACATACTAAGCTAACTCATCCATGAACCAAATTGGATCTCATCCCTCCACTGGTCTGTTATGCAGTACTTCCCATGAAGGCATGTGTAAGCTGAAGAGAGGTATCAGCATAATGTGAGTGCAGCCAAAGGGGGATTGCTGCTGGGCTTGGGTCCCACTTAGCAGAGACCTTTGTAGAGAGCAGTGAGAAAATGCTTCAGTGGGCTGTTCTTCCATTCTAGATGGAACAAAGAAAGGGTCTAAAGTAAGAATATACATGGGGCCAGCTAGGTGGCATAGTGGTTAAAGTGGCTGGATCCTACATGGTCATCTATGCAGACCTAGAGGTTTGAAAGATGGCTGGGTGTTTGTGCTAGGCTTATGTGCCCACAACTCCTAGAGAAAAATGGACAATAAGAAATTTTGATGTGGCCAACCCCCCCCCCCAGGAGACATGCTTTCTCATTTACTCTCTGTGTCTCTCCAGTGAGCACATGTACCCTAAAGCCAAAGAATAAAGAGAAAATACATGGATTCATGGATGGTGGAAGACTTAACTAGTCTAGAACTTGGAAGAACAAAGATTAAAAAACAGACTGTGAATACAATGACCAGAAAGAATAAATGTTTGTGTATCCCATTAAAAAGAAAAATATCCTTCAGGAGAAGGTTCCACATGGCTCCAGTGAACTAGATTTTTAAGGGAATGAAGATTTGCTACTGATAATTCAGCCTCCAACAAAAGAGCTAACACGATCACAACAGAACGGCGAAGAGATTCTAGATCACCTCTGTCTGCTTGCTCCTGAACATTAAGGCTGAACTTCAAGAATTTGAAAGAAACACAACATCCATCAGATGACAAGAAATCACCACCGGATCACAAGAAATATGGGAAAACGAGAAAATACCTCTCCTCCAAGGGAAAAGAGTAACTCTTCTTTATCCACAAGCAGTTCGGTGAAAATCATGGAAATGTCTGATAAGGAATTCAGATCATTCATAATGTCCAAGCTAACAGAGATGGAAGAGGAGAGAGATAATGACCTGCTAAAGAGAAAGGAGAAAGAAGTTAACGAGTTCCAGGAGGTGAAGAAATTCCTGCAAGATCTAAAAGAGGAATTACACACTTTACAAAAGACTCAAACGGAACTGCTAGAGATGAAGTCTATAATATAGGAAGTCAAAATCTCACTTGAAAGTATTAAAAGCAGACTAGATCATTCAGAAAATAGAATCTCAGATGTAGAAGAGAAAATGGTTGGCCTAGAAAAATCCACCAGGAAGACTGAGAAAATGGCCCAAAAATTTAAGAATAATATGCGAGAAGTACTGGATACCATCAAACGTCCAAATATCCGGATAATTGGCATTCCAGAAGGTGA